TTTTAGTCATATTTTCAGTTGGACTGTGTGTGTGTGGTAAACATTTAGTTTGACACTTGTTTGCAGACCGCAAATTTAATGGTTGTGTGAATAGTGGCGCAGAAAACTGTAGGTACGCAGTTACACTAAATTAAATGGTGTTAAAGTGATTCATTAGAAGTGATGATCGCTTGAATTTCGCGCGTAAGGTTTTAGTATTTTTTGCATTATTAGATTGACGGTTTGAATTTCGTTAGGAATTTTTTTCTGTCATGACTGTCATTTAAGAAACCAGGGTCGCCGTTAATTGTTGTGTGCCATTTGCGGTTTATTACTTTTTCCATTTTGCACAATTTTTAGGTGCACTAAAATATGTAAGAAACGTGACCGTGTCTAGTGTTAGTTTATAATTTGTGGTAAAACAGAAGCAGTATTTGTAGATTATAAATAAGTAAACGATTTACTGAAAGCATGATGATACACCACTGCAATTAAATAAATGATCATCTGTTAGTGCCAACTTCATAATTTTTAGCGCATTTCCACAAAAATAAAAACAAGTTAAAAAGTAATCGTAAACGATTTACATAAAGCGCATTTCCACTTGCATTCATTTCCCATTTGTAAGATGCAACTTTTGTTAAAATCGTAAAAATCCGCCCACAAATATGAAAGATAGCGTTGCACATGGGCAATCCATTGTTGACGTGCTACTTCAATTTCAGTTTATGAGAAGAATTTCATTTCAATGCTTTTCTAAATAAGGAAGTTGGAACTGCGCATGCGCAAACCTAAATTTTAAAACTAATGTTAGATTTTCCTTTGTTCCAAGCGCCTAAGTATCAAATTTCACTTAAATAGTTCCATAGATTAAAAAGTTGGCACTGCGCATTCGCAAAATAAAATTTTGAAACTAGCGCTAGATTTTCCTTTATTCCAAGTGCCTATGTATCACATTTCATTTAAATTCTTCCATAAATAAAAAAAGTTGGCACTGCGCATGCGCAAAACCAAATTTTGAAATTGGCGTTTGATTTTCCTTTATTCGAAGTGCTTATGTATCACATTTCGTTTAAATTTTTCCATAAATAAAAAAGTTGGCACTGCGCATGCGCAAAACCAAATTTTGAAATTGGCGTTTGATTTTCCTTTATCCCAAGTGCCTATGTATCAAATTTCATTCAAATACTTTTATAAGTAAACAAGTTTGCAATTCGGCTTATAAATGGTCGAGATGCGAAAAGGGCACTGTGAATTTTGAATCGATTCGATTCCACTTTTGGCAGTGCGTATTATATGGCTAAATCTATGCCCATATTGAATTTCATGCAATTCAGTTCATAACTAACGGAGATGTAAAAGCGATCGAACATTTCTAAACAAAGTTATCGTTCACACGGACAGACAGACAAAGGGACAGACGGACAGACCAACCGGCAGGCGACAGATAGCAATGCAAAATTATAAACGATCTCTAGGATCGTAAATAAACGGCAAAAGTGTAAAATTATGGAACATGTAAAAAACGGTTTTTTGTTTTTTTTACAATAACTTTTTTTGTAAGCGGTGCAGAAAAAATTCCTTCCTTGGTACAAGACTCGACACCATAATAGCGAAAAAAGTAGAACAATAGCTCTTAAGATAAAAAAACTAGTAGCGTCGCAAAGTTAGCGGACGGACGGACAAAGTGGCCACAATAGCGCATTTTTTTTTATTTTTGTGGAAATGCGCTAAAAATGCGCTATTGTGGCCACTTTGTCCGTCCGTCCGTCCGTCCGTCCTCTCGTTTTGCGACGCTACTAGTTCTTTATCTTAAGAGCTATTGTTCTACTTTTTAGCGCATTTCCACAAAAATTAAAAAAAAATGCGCTATTGTGGCCACTTTGTCCGTCCGTCCGTCCGCCCGTCCGTCCGTCCGCTCGTTTTGCGACGCTACTAGTTCTTTATCTTAAGAGCTATTGTTCTACTTTTTTCGCTATTTGGTTCGTTATGGTGTCGAGTCTTGTACCAAAGAAGGAATTTTTTCTGTACCGCTTACAAAAAAAGTTATTGTAAAAAAAACAAAAAACCGTTTTTTACATGTTCCATAATTTTACACTTTTGCCGTTTATTAACGATCCTAGAGATCGTTTATAATTTTGCATTGCTATCTGTCGTCTGCCTGTTGGTCTGTCCGTCTGTTTCTTTGTCTGTCTGTCCATCTATCTGTCCGTGTGAACGATAACTTTGTTTAGAAATGTTCGATCGCTTTTACATCTCCGTTAGTTTTGAACTGAATTGCATGAAATTCAATATGGGCATAGCTTTAGCCATATAATACGCAATGCCAAAAGTTGAATCGAATCGATTCAAAATTCACAGTGCCCTTTTCGCATCTCGACCATTTATAATCCGAATTGCAAACTTTTTTACTTATAAAAGTATTTGAATGAAATTTGATACATAGGCACTTGGAATAAAGGAAAATCAAACGCGAATTTCAAAATTTGGTTTTGCGCATGCGCAGTGCCAACTTTTTTATTTATGGAAGAATTTAAACGAAATTTGATACATAGGCACTTGAGATAAAGGAAAATCAAACGCCAATTTCAAAATTTGGTTTTGCGCATGCGCAGTGCCAACTTTTTTATTTATGGAAGAATTTAAACGAATTTTGATACATAGGCACTTGGGATAAAGGAAAATCAAACGCCAATTTCAAAATTTGGTTTTGCGCATGCGCAGTGCCAACTTTTTATTTATGGAAGAATTTAAATGAAATTTGATACATAGGCACTTGGAATAAAGGAAAATCTAGCGCCAGTTTCAAAATTTTATTTTGCGCATGCGCAGTGCCAACTTTTTTATCTATGGAACCATTTAAGTGAAATTTGATACTTAGGCGTTTGGAACAAAGGAAAATCTAACATTAGTTTTAAAATTTAGGTTTGCGCATGCGCAGTTCCAACTTTCTTATTTGGAAAAGCATTGAAATGAAATTCTTCTCATAAACTGAAATTGAAGTAGCACGTCAACAATGGATTGCCCATGTGCAACGCTATCTTTCATATTTGTGGCCGGATTTTTACGATCTTAACAGAAGTTGCATCTTACAAATGGGAAATGAATGCAAGTGGAAATGCGCTTTATGTAAATCGTTTACGATTACTTTTTAACTTGTTTCGCTATTTGGTTCGTTATAGTGTCGAGTCTTGCACCAAGGAAGGAATTTTTTCTGTACCGCTTACAAAAAAAGTTATTGTAAAAAATAAAAAAAAACCGTTTTTTACATGTTCCATAATTTTACACTTTTGCCGTTTATTAACGATCCTAGAGATCTTTTATAATTTTGTATTGCTGTCTGTCTGTTGGTCTGTCCGTCTGTTCCTTTGTCTGTCTGTCCCTGTATCTGTCCGTGTGAATGATAACTTTGTTTAGAAATGTCCGATCGCTTTTACATCTCCGTTGGTTATTAACTGAATTGCATGAAATTCAATATGGGCATAGCTTTAGCCATATAATACGCAATGCCAAAAGTTGAGTCGAATCGATTCAAAATTCACAGTGCCCTTTTCGCATCTCGGCCATTTGTAAACCGAATTGCAAACTTTTTTAATTATAAAAGTATTTAAATGGAATTTGATACATGACCACTTGGAATAAAGGAAAATCAAACGCCAGCTTCAAAATTTGGTTTTGCGCATGCGCAGTGCCAACTTTTTTATCTATGGAAGCATTTAAGTGAAATTTGATATTTAGGCGCTTGGAACAAAGGAAAATCTAACATTAGTTTCAAAATTTAGGTTTGCGCATGCGCAGTTCCAACTTTCTTATTTAAAAAAGCATTGAAATGAAATTCTTCTCATAAACTGAACTTGAAGAAACACGGCAAAAATGGATTGCCCATGTGCAACGCTATCTTTCATATTTGTGATCGGATTTTTACGATTTTAACATAAATTGCATCTTACAAATGGGAAATGAATGCAAGTGGAAATGCGCTTTATGTAAATCGTTTACGATTACTTTTTAACTTGTTTTGATTTGCGGGAAATTCAAATTGTCCCCACTTCTAATGAATCACCCGGTATAATTATACATATAAATTCCACCTGTAATAATAGTTAAAATTGCAGTGAAACACAATTTGGCCCTAACTCAAGTCAAATGAAAATTACGAGGACGCAACCGCACTTTTTGATAGCTATTGTTGTCAACTTATTAATTAATGTGGCATTGAACAACGGAGTAAGTTATTGCCTCACTACTTGAAAATTACTGACAGTTGTCAAGAGCATTTATTGATATTTCGTTATTTGACCAATGAGGAATGTTGATTTGCAGACCGCTCAAGGGAAATGGAATATATATTTCATTTCAAAAATGAATTCTCATCTATTTTATTTTCAAATTGCGATCTCATCTTTAATGCAATACAAATAAATTGAGTTGCTAAAACTGAATTCTTTCCGTAAGAATATTTAAATTCAAATTACCGAGAAAAATACCAATTCTTGTCTATCGACCTGCTTTATTGCACCTTTGAATATTATTCACCTGCTCTACGGAGCTATACATATGAAAACGACTACCTATACCAATTAATTTTCAATTAATCAAAACTCGAAGTAATCTTTTTGTCAACTGAACATACTGTTCTTATTGTATTTTTTTATTCTGCCACAACGCATAGTGCCTTTGACGTTCCCATATTGAAGATAACAAGATATGCTAAAATGTTGAAAAAATCTTGGAGAGGAGCTATTCAGAGCCATGTGTTTAGGTCAGGCTGTAAATTTACATGAAAACTCAGGATAATATAAAAAGAAAAAGTGTTGTTAAGACAATTTCAACTTTGCATTATGCTTGTCCAAATCAAGTTTGTCATTCTGAAATAATTTTGATCTCTGTTAAGAAAGGTACACGTAACTTGAAAAGTGACATATTAATGTTTTTGTTTACCTTTTCAAGTTTCTTTCTGCCCTTAAATCGAGAAAGTTATCCCAAGTAAATACTAAATAGATTAAACATCTTACTTTCAGTTTATTAACATCGCAAATACGCATTCGAGTTGGAGAATACGACTTTTCAAGTGTGCAAGAGGATCTGCCGTATGTTGAACGTGGAATTGCTAAGAAAATAGTTCATCCCAAATATAACTTTTTCACTTACGAATACGACTTAGCTCTTGTGAAGCTTGACAAATCCTTGGAATTTGCTCCGCATATTTCTCCGATTTGTCTCCCCGCGTCTGATGATCTCCTTATAGGAGAAAACGCTACCGTAACAGGATGGGGAAGGCTTAGCGAAGGTGGAACGTTGCCTTCAGTTTTGCAAGAGGTAAGCAATTTTCTTTTTATGTACCCAAATCGGGAAGTTGGTTCATCGTATATGCGAAATATAAATATTGGAAAGTTTTCCTTTCATACATGCTTTCAGGTTTTGTTTATTGTTTACATTTAGTGTTTTAGCTTGTTTCATACCTTCTGGTTTTCGAGATTAATATATAATGACTGTAGTTCCCGTTTAACTTTGTGCTTGTTAGATGGAAACTTGCAATAGTACGCCTACTTTGATTCATGGGCCTAAAACCGATTTTACATGCTGAAAGTTATTTCATGAAAGTGGAACGTGAAATAACTTCGCGGAAATTTTTTAACTGACGTGCTTTGGCTTATAAAGGAAAAAGAAATATGAGAATCGGCGCCGACAAATCAAGGCCCTGGCAATCGGCGCGGTAAAATTCCATCAATAGATGGAGCCTTCTATCAAATCGCCTTAAACGATACGGGGGTCTTTCAACAAGTAATAAACCGTAAGCAATAATAATGCGTCGTAATGGAGAAAATAAATCATTACATCATTACAATTACAATTACAATCATTACAACGTCTTCAGTAATTCAGTTTGGTCAAATCTTATTTTATTACTAAAGTAGCCACCTTTAAACGTTTTCTTTGCATCAAGGGAGTTCTTAATCAATTTGATAATATTATGTTCAGGTTTTTCAGGCGATGCATTTATTTGTTTACCGATTCTGTGACATCCGTCGATGTCGCATTGTTGTATGTTGTTATGAAGTTTGCGTTAAAAATTGATAACTCTTTATGCAGTAAGGTTTCATTAGGTATCTCTTCTATACCGAACACTCACACAAAATTTCTTTTGGAGTATTCTTCAAAATTTTCAATGCGCGTTCTTAATTTTTTTAATTAATTAATTATTTTCCAAGTTGCAAATTGTTTAGTTAGTTTTATTATTTAAACAGTTCGTGCTGTAGATATTTTGCAGTTGTGGAGTTTTGTTGATACCGACCTCAAAAATCGCCTCCTTGAGATCCGTGTAGTTCTTTTTTTGTTGTCTTGTGTTCACCATATTGTATGCAGCTTATAAAGCACCGAGGCCAATGATTGCGCTTTTTTTCTATAGAAGATAACATTTATCAGCGATTCCAGTTTTAAAGAATAACGATTTGCAGAACCACAACAATCACGCACCTACTCGCTGCACGCCATCTCCTCCCCTGTTAGACGATCAAATTTCGACATGTAAAGTACCTACATGTAATTTCTACTTGTAGAAATACACGTAAAAAGCTTAAAGCGCGTGTAATGTATTTTCTATATTTAAAAGAATGCAATCTTTTGTATTAAATGTTGGACGTGCCGCCTGGTGTTAACTTTTAAAACATTGTGAAGATGATGCACAGCATTTTAAACAAGATTTACGTCAACTTGTCCTGTTAAATTTCTACACGTAAACTTCTCATAAATCTAGTCTATATCATGCTTCAGAATGTTACAAAACTTAAGAAATAAACAGTGCATCTAACATTTAACACAATAGACGCGCCATGTTTTAGTCTACATATAAAAATAGAGCATGTAAAATAAAATGAAAATTACACGCAGAAATTTCAACATCTAAAACGTATTTGAGAAAGAAAGAATAGACCATAAACCTACAAAATCGAAAATTTTGCCTAATGATTTTAACCGCAAAGCAAAAGGGCGTAAATGAAATAATGTTAAAAATAAAGAAAAAAATTACTAATCTGTTGCAGACCGATTTGTGAGTAACTTTGTAATGATATAGTTAGTGCACGTCTTGTATTACTGTATCAATTAACTAAGCTCAACGCGTACGCTGTTAAAATGAAATTCACAATAATAAAAACAAACAAAGAGATTTTAATCTGAAATGAAATAATTGAAATAATTCTTTTCGTCTGTACGAAAATATGTTTCTCCCTATCGTAACATTTTAATTTCCTTTTTATAACGAAATTTTTAGAAGTCCATGAGGAATGGCGAACATTTATTGAAAAATATTGCTCATACTGATGGTTATAATTTAAGATTTTGTGATTTTATTCCTACTTTCTCTAAAAATTGAAATTGTTTTTTAGGTACAAGTGCCCATCGTTAGCAACGACCGCTGTAAAAGCATGTTTTTACGAGCCGGAAGACACGAATTTATTCCTGATATATTTCTCTGCGCCGGCCACGAAACGGGAGGACAGGATTCGTGTCAGGGAGATTCAGGAGGTCCATTACAAGTTAAAGGAAAGGACGGAAGATATTTTCTAGCGGGTATTATATCATGGGGAATAGGATGTGCCGAAGCAAATTTACCGGGTGTATGTACGCGAATATCTAAATTTGTCCCATGGATACTTAAAAATGTAACTTAGATTGTACCCAACATTATTTTAAAGCATTCAAGATTGTATATCATTAGCTATAAAGCTCTCTACAGTCATATCAGGTGATATATTATATTATTAAAGCTTAATATAGGTGTTATTGCGAAATTTGAAAGCATAAGTAGTCAATATGAGCTCCTTAGATGTCGTTTATGAACTCATAATGGAATTCCATGCTGTTCTGTTAATTTGTTCTCCAAGTGCAGTCTGCCATGCCTGCATTTATTAGAGACGTGTTGTTCATAAATGGATTACTCAAATAGGAAATTAAAAGCCAGAGCGCGTCCGCGTTGGGGCGCCTCGATTAAACATAAAAGGTTTTCTATCTTCCGCTCGTATCTGAAGAGTTTATTGCGAAGATTTAGGTTATAACCGTTTGTATTTTTGACGTCTGCGAGGATGAGAAATGCAATTAAGTTAGATTTAGGATGTTCAAGATAAGAATGTTAATAAATAAGTCGTTCCTATTTTTAATGTTTAAAAAGCAATTAACTCGCCGTGAAAAGTGTGATCACCAAGTCATTTAATTTTAAGATGTGCCTTATGGCACGTAGTCATAAGTCAAAATGCACTAAACTGGAGTATTTATGCTACTCTCCTACATAAATAGTTATGCTTTCGTATAATGATAACGGAATGTGTGAAGTGATAAACAGTTTCAGCGTTGGACATTTTCTGTTAAAGAAACTATTCTTTATTAGCGAATATATTTGTCTATTCAAACGGTGCTGTTACTCATTAAGTACTGAATTTAAATGGTCTGTATCTTTATTAGCTATAGTTTTGTAAAGTTTGTATATTGTATCGTTTATTTATCATTGTAAAGGATCCAAAGATAAAATAAACCAATATATCGTGCAACGGCACTCTTAATGTTCTGTCGAAATTTATTAGATTGCTTCAAATTGATCCTATAGTCGTGCGTGAGGGCAATTATAGAATATCATTTTGTTCAAAGGGGTACTTTCTATACTTTGGGACGCGTAGTTTTAGATACAGTCCTGTATTAAAAGAAGTCGGCGTGCGAAAGACTGTAGCCTAATTTTTCAAACCTTTCCGGCCGGTTATAAAACGGTAATTCGATCTGGGTGTTTCTTAACGAAAACCAACTTAGGCCCTCGCCCTATGATGAGAAATTAAGGAGAATCGCGGAAGCTGTCCAGGAAAGCGAACGCCTGGCAGGTCGCAGAATTGCTCTTAGCCAAAAGTTGCGGTTTTGGCGGCGCAAATTAGTCTTAAAGGAGTTTGACGCGAAATTCGAGATTTAAAGGGGACAAATCTTCATAGCCATTACAGTGAGGTATATCGTTTTTCTTTGTGAATATCTAAATAATGGCTACTAATGAATTCCAATTGTACTTGTATTGAGAGTTTGATTTGTATCGGTAAGGGCCAGCAGCTAAGTCCTAGACGGGAGTATCCGGTGGAAAAAGGGTAGGTACTGGGTCTAACCAGATACTTCTTGTATTTTGTAGTTAAGTAGGTATTATAAGATAGTATGGAAGTGGAGGATGTAAGATAGTGAACTTAATGCGTAAGATTCGGCTTTAAAAATGTCCATATACATACACTCCGTAGCTACACAGATTTAGCATTGTTTTCTTTGTGCAAAACTGCCCGTTAGTTATGTGAAGACCGAGGCGGGACGATACAATACGAGTTACACCGTTAGGTCGTGGTAACGTCAAATAAGTAAAGTATGTATAAAGGAAAATATTGTAATCGTGCTAAATTTTCGATATGCCAATATTACGTTTTCTGGACGTTTTGAAGCACACCAGACCCCAAAAAAGTTTTTAGGTACGATTGCTTGATAATGCGGTGATTACAGTCGCGATTAGTGGCCATAATTTGCAATATTATGGCCTAGTCCATAATGATAAAGTAAAACGGCCGCCTGTCAATGTGACAGTCGTACTTAGGTGTCAATCCAAGGTAAATTCAAGTATTTTAGAAATACTTGACAAATGCTTGACATCTGTTGTCAATGATATA